ATCACAAGAATTGGATTATCATTATTAGTGTAAATGCATACGTATATACATCCGGGTGTAGAAAAAGGTCTTCTCGTCTACCGTTACCGTCAAATCGACATAACCTATCAATTTATATACAAGAAAAAGTTTTTCATAACTAAATCCCTAAAACCACGAGTCATACAAACCCTCATACATGACGGGAGGGGTAATACATGAGGCGATGTTTTCGGTGAAGTACTTTCCCTTCACTTTCCACGAGTCGAACCGGCAGGTGATGGTACTGTCGGGTGTGAAACAGGGTCCGGTCACGTTCAACATCTCCCCGCCCAGGCTTAGGATGTAGTTGATTGAAGTGGTCAGCCCCTGGCGGTCGGACAGGTTTGGGTCCAGGTCCTTGTTAACACAGGCGCCCGTGAACAACACGTTGTCTATTTGAAATATGAACCTTCCCAACAGGTTGTTCCCGTACCCGAGCACCGGTAGTAGCGATATGCGAGGGTTCTGTGAGTAGGGCGCGTACTCATAGGCACGGGTAGAGTTGCCGCCATTGAACCCAATCTGTGAATTGAAAGCATTTGTGATTGAATTATGGATTTGTGTGTAGAGTTTGGGCGGACATACAAAAGCTGGCGGACCGTTGAGGCCGTCATAGTTGTCGAGATGTGTAATCCAAGTGATCCACTCGTAGTTGAAGAATACAAACGACGAGATCTCATCGGTTCCGATAATCATTTGATAGGTGTTTGTCTTTCAATGAATATAAAAAATTATATAAATTTCATTACACTCTCATAAAAAATGAATATTCTGTATATTATTATAATAACACACATTAAATAAATTATTATTTGCTAAATAATTAAGTAATAATTTAAGCTAGTTTGTAATATTAATTAACAAATACTCATTAACATAGACATACCTTAAGTGGTTTATCAGGCCGTTTATTAGCGAATGTCATATTCCTCCAGGTCACTATTATGACAAATGTGGGCACAAAACCTGCCGACCCACTCATGGCTGTGTCAAAGTCCCAGAGAATCCGATCCTTGAGCTCCTCGTCCTGTTCAGTGCCCATCTCTATGAGTCTATAGTAAACTCCCGAACCCTCCACATCTTGAGGTATGTCCTGATGGGCGAACCAAATGGCAATCAACGAAGGATCCTCTTCTACATTGGTGTCGTCGGGAACGGTAGGGAAAGACACGGGAAACGTGTAACTCTTAAGACCCTTATTAAAGCACACGTAGCCGTCCTTATGGATCTGTTTTTGGGGGTATATACACACAAATGAAGGAATGGCCACAGAATTGAGTCCAACAAATACCCAAATATAGTGAAAGGCGAACCCGAAGTAGGGTAGTCTGAATGGTAAGGGCTGGTCGTGAAACTGTTTCATTGAATTAATCGAAAAGAGATAATCATTTTCGTCGTACGGATAGAAAAGGGGTTTATCGTTGACTCGGGTCTCGGCGCTCATCAGTCGCGGCGGTAGTGTTGGGTACAGGAAATGACGGGCCGGTCGGGTGGCTGAGGGAAAGGGGTTTCAGAGGGAAAACGTTTTTAAAGTTTATTAAAGTTTTTCATATTATTTCTTACAGTTGATGATCGCCGCTAAAGCTTTGCATTCATTAATACAGATAATTATTATGAATACTAATAAAATTATTGGCGAGTTATTAGCCATTAAAATGTGAGCTTTTTTGCTACTTTATAACTAATTAATATTATAAATTATTTGTGAACACTACTATTAATTTCTAGAATATTACAAATTCTTCACATGTTATTAAAACTAAATAATTATGATTTAAAATAAATTTTATTAATATTGAATTAGTGTGTTAATGCAAATTCACTGAAACTAATGCACGATTTAATTTCATATGAAAAGTATGACAAAAGACAGCAAAAGTGAGTTATTTTCTATGATTAATACACCCGAAGATTATAATTTTATTGGGGAATTAAGTATTAAATAATTGAAAGTTATAGTCATTACTGATATAAATTGGTAAGAATTACAGAATTACATTAATATTGTACTGTATGTTATCTAAAATAATATTTATTATAAAAAAGGATTAATTTTAATTGTGCTAACACGAATGTAGGCTTTTTATATGATATGCTATTTTAATTCCTTGTGTTATAAATTGTTATTTGAAATATATTTATTTAGTGACTCCAGTGAACAAAATTTTGCCTTTCACTTAATTATTAATGTTTAATTTTTATGATTATCTAGGTATATTGATATATTTAAAATATCTGCTAAATGAGTTATTTTTTAAGGATTTCAAAAGTAAATCCTATATTTTATAATTATTAACTCCACTAACATACATGCATTAGAATAATTTAAACATTCATTTTAAAACATATTCTGTAATAAATAAAATAATTTGATGGTTAAAAGGTTTTATTACCCAAAAACATATGACACACAATTTATACATGTATTTTGTATCTAATACTAAAACCCACTCAACTGTTTTAATCATTAATTATAGTTTTACTAATCAAACACTTTTAGTATAGTATACTTTCAATATAAATATAGCATAATAAATAAAACGCTTTTTATTTATTCTCAGATTTAGATAACGAACTCATTATTTGTGATGAATTTACTGACAATTATCACAGTTTTATATTTATTAATCAATTGTGTGCTCAGTCTATCCGTACGCCACGCATATAGGGAAGCCGATGGCAGTGATACCGGTGCTAACATTGTGGGCAATAGGCGCCAAATTGTGATCAATGTCGGCAATGGCGCCAACGGTGGTAAAGGTGGCGATGGAGGGGCCGGTTATATCAGACACAGAGGCAAAGGTGTGGGAGAATACATAAACCTATTATAATAATTGTGTTTAAAAATTATCTCAATTATACCGTAGTCTCAAAGCATGAGAGCCTAACCGATGACATAACTCAACAAAACGTCAAAACTGGTTATAAACAGATTTGGATTCACGACAGGTATCATATAAATGGTCGTAATGGTGATGATGGTGTGGCACCTTAGTCTCAAAGCATGAGAGCCTAACCGATGACATAACTCAACAAAACGTCAAAACTGGTTATAAACAGATTTGGATTCACGACAGGTATCATATAAATGGTCGTAATGGTGATGATGGTGTGGCACCTGATGATAGTGTAGATGCAAATAGAGGCAAGAATGGTATGAATGGCAAAGATGGTGCTGATGGACAGTCATTCGTATACTACTCTCGTAACTAATCGATTTAAATTAAAAAATTCATTCATGAACTAAATGTTCACTTAATATAAATTAATATATTAAATTGAATGTTATTTTATAATTATGGGGTTTTATACTGAGTAATAAATAAAATTTAATACAATTTTTACTTATTATTATAATATTTACTTTCATAAAATTATTTTATGCTATCAATTGTTATACAAAAATCCAGTAAAAACTCAGAATTTGTCGCTTAGATTTGGTTTGTATTTTCAGTGACTTTAGGACCCGTTAGTCGGTGGCTTCTGTACCAATTGGTAGCCTATGCCAAACACCACTTGAGGCACCGTATAGACGACTGTCAATTCTTCATAGTGGACCGAATCAAGCGATCTGACCATGAATTTGTCAAAAAACTCATGGATTCCCTGCGATACCTACTACTGATGACAGTGTTTGAGTGCATCCGTTACGGCGATCTCATTATCTCTCACGACAACTACAGCGTCCGACGGGTTGTCAATGGGTTTGTACTGATCCTGATGTTCTTGTGTGTGATCCGGGCGTACAGACAAGTGACTCATACCGGGAATCGGTCGGTCTCGTGGTGTCTGTGCTTTATAGTCAAGAGTTGTATCTTTCTGGTGATACTCGAGTTGTTCAGGTATTCCGATGTCTTACTCTCGCATATCTTTCACGACAGCCATAATAGAGATACCGATCCCGAGATACACATCAGAGTGGAGGCGCTCAGTAAGAAAAGGTTACAGAAATAGCATTTCTTATTGTGAAGACTTATTTCAATTGATATACAAAATGCCAATAAAATTAGTGTCCGGACACAATAAGTGTGTGTGTTTTTCGGCGCATATATAATGTGATGTTTNGAAAAGGTTACAGAAATAGCATTTCTTATTGTGAAGACTTATTTCAATTGATATACAAAATGCCAATAAAATTAGTGTCCGGACACAATAAGTGTGTGTGTTTTTCGGCGCATATATAATGTGATGTTTTAAAGAGCAATTCAAGTGTAAAAAGTTTATTGACTTAAATGTATGGTAAGTTCATAAGTCCAACACAATAGTGGACTTTACAGACAGTTTTAGTTGAATTTGTTGCCAACAATTTTCATTACTATACTTTAATTACTGTATAATTTTTGTTTTTAAATCAATTGGGATTGGTAATTATATTTTAAATAAGTGATTAATGTATCAACTAATCAAATAATAATTTATCATTCAATTTGTATTTATTACAGTCACTGTTCAGTTAAGCGTAAAAATAAATCAGCAATCTTTAAACTATAAAATTAATTTAAATACATTTAAATACTATAAATTATGCATGTGAAATAATGATACCGGTAATTTATACAATATTATTATAATCTTAAATCTCATTAATCAATATCTCTCATCAGATTACGCAAAGGGTTAAGCATTCGGTACACATGAACTTAAAGTTATCTATTGTATAGTCTAATATAATCCAGTTTAAAATTCATACAATTTTTTTGTTGGTAAACATTATTTTTAATTAACCGTCTTCTCAGTGACACTAACGAAGCGAATGTCTTATTAAACACTTTAAAAATAATTAAATTTAATTAAAACCGTACGAGTGTTTTGTTAATATGAATAATGAATGACAATAATAACAATACACTACTTATTAAACATAATTATAAAACTGTCTCCAGTTGTGCGGTTCGCATGGGATGCCTGTACCTGTAATAGGCATTCAAACTCATGGCATAACTAATTAAACTAACCAGCTATTTTTAGTCTAAACCTGTTGTTCACACCTTCGTAGACATACAGTCAGTACAGTAGCCCTCAAACCCTCTTAAACAAGACTTGAGAGTTTTCGTTGTTTTTTAGGCAGCCCTCGAACTACCGGTGCAAACACAGTCTATTCATCCCGTCGTAGCCATGAATAGAGACTCAATTGTCATCTCAAAGACCAGAACAGACGTCTCATCTCAAGACTAATACACAACAGAAAAAAGAGTTTAAGACAAAAACCACTCAATTGTTTGTGTCTTTCAAAAGTTTTCTCGTCTCGAAAAAACACTTTAATTCAAATCCGTTTGTATTGAAACAAAATTCAATATCAAGTTTAATGTCGGGTTGAGAGGCAAAACACAACCATTTGTTTGTTTGAGACTCTATTTAAGGAAATATAAGCAAAAAAGTGTATATAATTTGTTTGACTCGAGTCTCTTTCGGTTTAAATTAATTTGTTTGCAATAAAAATAAAAACAAACACAAGTCTTGAAAATACAATTGCCTTTTTGTGTGTACACAAAGTCATGAAAAATATAAATACAATGAGTTTTTAATTTAAGTTTATGATGAACTGCGCGGATAACTAATGTGGGCAAAAGTTTTTTGTTAATACCTTGTTATCTAAATACAGTAATCCTTTGAGTTGAGAGAGAGAACGGAAAATAATAACTTTATTATAATAACTGTATTGCAAACAAATAAAAGCAAAAAAAGTTGTCTAAAATCATGTGAAACGAGAAAAACAATTATAAGTTTATATAAGTTTTGAGAAAAATTCCTTTTATTACATAAGATATTGTGAGACACTAGTGATGAGACTATAATAGGAAACGTGACTCTAATCTCTTTTAAATCACTATTCATTAAAATTAATGTTTACTCTTATGAGAGAGAGAGAGAGAGAGAGAGAGAGAGAGAGAGAGATGACTTAAAACCAGTAACCATTAGAATAATTCTCACTTCTCTCTCTCTCTCTCTCTCTCTCTNAGAGAGAGAGAGAGAGAGAGAGAGAGAGAGATGACTTAAAACCAGTAACCATTAGAATAATTCTCACTTCTCTCTCTCTCTCTCTCTCTCTCTCCCTCTCTCTCTCTCTCTCGCACTCATAAGACAACTATATTAACGGAAAAAAGTTTTCCTGCGCTCTCTGTCTGTCTCTCTCACTGTTTTTTGGTAACACTTGACTGAGTACTTAAACTTTAACTTAAGTCTTAAGTCGTCTTTTAAACAAAAAACTTCTTAAAACAACTTTTAAGAGACAAAAAAACAAAACGCAAATCAAATCTGCTTTAAAAGCCAGTGAATCCATTGTGAAGGGGAACAGTCGGTCGCTGACAGGTGTTGACTACACAACACACACACCTAGACATCCACACCACAGATACACAGGCAGAGGGGAAATGCTGTTCACCCGGGCGTCAGCCGTACTTCTGGCGCTCATATGCCTCGTAGCCCTCGGATGCCACGGCTTTCAGCTGAGCCTCACCGACGACATCAGTGCCCAACACAAGGCAGGTCTGGCCGATGGCGAACACAACTGGAACTTCACTCAGTGGTGGAATGAGCGCAACGAATACGCACAGGTAGTCGCCGAACCCATCGTATTCCAGGAGCCCATTAAGGCCATCGTGTACAGCGACCTCGATCAGTTTGATACAGTGCACTATGGCAGCTTTCATAATGATAGCTACGCGGTGGTCGATGGGGTTGTGGTCACCTCAGCCCCCATTCTGGTCGAGAACAACGGAACCCCCGCCACCACTATATTGAGACTCAACGATACGATACTCCAGTTCTTCGGCAACAGCCGGCACTGGAATGACGACAAGCTTTATATGAGAGACTTGAGGGAAGCCCTCAAAGAGAAGTTCCTCTCCTATGGCCTTAAGACGGCTTTCCATATATTCAAGGCTGAGGACAGCCCTATCAAACTCGTAAGTGTTTAACAAATATTTTATTTTTGGTATTGTTTATGACATAACTTTATGTTATATTTAAAATAAGTTTTATGTTTTTAAATTTTAAAGTATTAAATACTTAATGAATGTATAGTTTGATGAAATTACTAAATTATTTAATATTACTAAATACTAAGAAACTATGAGGGATAATTCAAATATCTATAATTTTTAATATTTATTCCTCAGATCTAATACAGTACTGTAAATAAGTTATTTAGCATAACTCAATAGAAAACTTGTGGCAATATAATTTAAAAAGATAAAGTCTTGTTAAAAACAATTTTGCACATACTAAATCTTATTTAACGATAATAACTAAATATTCATCTTTATATTCATTTTGCAAAAAAAATGTAAAAATAATACTTAATGCAATATAATTTAGCTCACAATTAAATTACAGTGATTCACAAAACTGTATAATTAACGTGCAATTTAATGTGTAAAAATCACACAATTTTATCGGAAAAAAGTTATGTACATTTTTTACGCCAACTACTTATTACTTAACGGTTGGTTATCTGTCTATCTCTACAACACATTACAGTCTATTATAGCGTTATTACTGGGAAATTAAATCACAAATTCACGGCACATATCCAACTGTGGATTCACTCATTATACACTATAATAGCACTAAAAATAACAATCATAAGTGTATATAAATAAAATTAATTGATTAATAATACGGTATATAATGATAATAAGGGATGCCTTTCATAGCCATTATTTCTATTCGCAGCCCTTATATCCCGGGGCCGCCAAACGGCAGA